GGCCGGACCTAGCGGAAGGACTGAAGCACTGTCTCCAGCCGCCGACCTACTGCCTGCCCGAGGACTGGCACCGTGTACATGTATGCCTCATTCCAAAGGTGACCATGGCTCGTCTCCCGAAACAGCTGCGCCCCATCTGCCTCCTCCCACCTGGCAGTAAGATCCTAGCCATGATGCTGGCAGACCGTATACGTGACAGAGCCGAAGCATACATCCGCCAAGCGCCACAATTCGCATACGTCAGCAACCGCAGCACCACGGACGCGATCAGCCGAGTATGCAGCCACTTGCATGAAGCGCGAACCCTGGCTACTGCCGCTGTTCCCAAAAGACACCAGCGCCACTCTGGCGTCACCCCCTGTCAACTCGCCGGGGGTCTCTCGCTAAGCCTAGACGTTGACAAAGCTTTTGATTCGCTGCCAAGAGAACAGCTTGTGACTTCAATGCAGGCAGCAGGCCTGACATCAGAGGAGGTAGCGCTTGCACTCCACATCCACGACCAGGCCAAGCTCACCTTCGAGCTGGCAGGGCACAAAGACGAAGTCGAGCTCTCACAGGGCATACGTCAGGGCTGCGGTCTCTCGCCCCTCTTGTGGTGTGTGTCCACAAAGCTCTACCTAAAGTTCAAAGAGACAATCACTCACAAGAAGGAGATATTGGGAGAGCCCACCCTCTATGCCGATGATATCTGGTCCTCCTGGACCATACGGACACAGGAACAATTCCGTTCCAGCCTGCGCGCGGCAGGCATACTGATCCAGCTCCTCCACGAAGCAGGCCTCCGAGTGTCGCCCACGAAAACTGTCTTCCTGCTCAATCTCCAAGGTACTGCGGCCAGAAGCACCCTTCGCCCCAGACTCGCCAAGCTGGAAACAGGCGAGCCCGCAATAAAGCTTCGCGTAGGTCAAACCACTATGCTCATCAAGATAGTAGACGCCCATACCTACCTGGGAGCCAGAGTTGCATACCAGAACCATGAAGCTCTCAACCTGCAGCACCGACTGCACCTTGGCTGGCAGGCCTACTGGCGACTGGCCAAGGTCCTCCGCTGTCGAGCACTGACCCTAGACAGCAAAATCCGCGCCTGGAAGACATGTGTCTACCCGGTTGTCCTTTACTCCCTGGAGGCCACAGGCATCACCTACCACTCCCGCACCCTCCTCTCTCAGTTCGTCCACGCTCAGCTCCGCCTCATCCATAAATTACCGGGCCACATCACCAAAGTTACCTCCCACGACCTACTCCTCAGAAGCCAACTCGACCCGCCAGGCGACACCCTTGACCAGCGGATCCAACGACATCTCCAACAAGCCCCGGAGTTTCCAACTGCGGCGCAGGAAACCTGGTTCGATCTGCTGCAGGACTACTCGACGACGCCTGCTGTCTCTGCATCCGACCCTTCTGCCTCTATGACCCCTTCTCGGGGAGGCTCTACTCGCGCCCACCTCAAGCCCATCAGCAGCGTTCTCAGCTATCGGCCACTCAACTGCCCAATCTGCGGAGTTGGCTATAGCACCCTTCAGGCCGTCCGTCTCCACATGCGGAAGTCCCATCACACTCAAGTACGACAGGCACCTGCCTCCTCGGACTTGCGCCCAACTCCTGCTCAGGCTCCGGACCCAGATCACGCCCCCTCTACTCCAGCCGTCATGATGGACCCAGATGCTACCACGGCCCCGGCCTCGCTACCTGACTTCGCGGCAGATGAACATGCTCTGTTTGTTTGGCAGCATGGTCGAGAAGGTCTCCCACAGTGCCGACACTGCCTCCGCCAGTGTGATTCGTGGCATAACTTACGAATACACATCTCCACCAAATCCTGCCGAACTTTGGTCCCAGACGGCTTTAACGCCCTACCCCCAAAACACAATCTCAACCCGACTCCACTGTACCACAGGCCTGAATGTCAGCTTTACCTAGTCGGAAGTTGGGAAAAGCTCGCCTCCTGGCTGAAAAAGATGCTCCCTCAGGCAGTCCACCACTGCCCGTACTGTCAAAGGGGCTGACCCAAGCGCGTGGTCTTCGAGCTCATATTAAAGCCAAACACTCCCCAATGATCCCCTGCTGTGAAGAGGCAGTCCAGCGCATGCAATCCCACCGCAGGCTTTTGGCCCTTGGTCGCACCTGTCGCTACTGCAGCCTTTCCCTAACAGGAGCGCCCATCAAGCATGCCACTGAGTGTGCAGTCCTGTTTCTGGTTCATTTGCTACAGGCCACGCATGCGCTACATCATTCGAACCACCTGCCTCAGGTCCGCGATGACTCTCCCCTCGATGTTCAATGCGCACCAAGTGAGCCCGGAGGACCTGGAAGAAGCCACTCAGGAGCTCAAGAGCATCGAAGCGCAGGTCCGGCTGATACCCAAGCAGCCCCAGCCCCTGATGGCCCCAACGACACTGATGAGCGAACCCCCACCACAGGGAGGCATGCCGGACTCCTCGAATCCCCCATCGACGGAAGTCCCCGACAGACCTTCCAAATGGCAGAGGGACAACAGCAAAGGAGCCACCCAACCAGGCAAGGAAAGGGCTCAACAGGCCGTGGAGCCCAGGGCCTGCCAACCGCCCTCCACCTCAGGGAGGTCCGCCAAGACGTCAAGGGGGTCGCCCATCCGGATACCACCCCCAACCCCCATGGCAGCGACAAGGACAGGGATACGGGCCTTCTTCAGGTCCAGACCTCACTCTCATGTGCCACACCATGGCCAGACTCCTCATGAGACACGAGGACGCTCTCTCAGTCCTACAGCAATCCACCACCTGGATCCTCTTCCTCACGACTCAGCCCCCGGGCACTGTCCTCCCCAAGCTGTTCGCCACAGCCCAAGGATGGCACGAGCTACGGTGGAACGACCCGGAATCCATCACCCATCCGATGCGCATCATTCTGTGGCAGAAACTGATGCTCGAGCTGTCTCAGCGTGCCCAGAAGGTCATCGACCAGGAGGATGCCCGAGAACAGGCGATCCAAATGGAGCTCTACAACCCGAACACGGGGTTCGGCTATCGCAAATGGAACAACAAGGAGGGAGTGATGCAGCCCATTCCCGATCGCGAACCGCTCACGGCACAGAAAGTGGTGGAGATTGCAAAGGAGCTAGCGACGCTGAGTGTACAACCGCAACTGCTCAACAGGTTCCATGCCACTCGCCAGCTGGAGGAGAAAATGGAAGGCAGCACAGTGACCTGGCTATTGGAAGTGGGCTGGAGGGGCGAGCACATGGCTCGCTTCTGGGAGCTGCTCCAGCTCCTTTCACACAATTCCTCTCTCCTGATGATCGGTTGCACCCTTCGTCCGGATCGCCTCCAGAGATCAGCCTTGGCCCAACAGCTGCAGACCCTCCTCCAGTCCATGCACATCCCTATGCCGAGACAGCCGCCGAGACCTCAGCCCTGCTCCCGACATTGCAGCTCCGCAATCCTTCCAACTACTGTTACTCCCATGCCTGCCTTTTTATTTATCTTTGGCTTGTGTCCCAAACCCCCTCCTCCTTTCAGGTACTGGACAGGGAACCGTTGAGGAGCTTCATCGCCCAGGCGCGCAAACAACAGCAAGTGACACTCTTGTCGCTCCTCCCGTGGAGGCAGGCAATGCGACGCTGGTCCCACCCAGCCAGGCAACATGATGCAGCGGACTTCCTCCTCCACTTACACCAAGTCCTCAATGCACCCTGCTTCCAGGGCCTCTGGCAGTCCTTTGACGACAGCCACATGCTTCTAGATGAAGGCGGGGTCTGCCCACTCATACTTTCCGGAATGCAAGATGCCTCTGACACAATTGCCACCACTGCCCAGTCCTGCATCAATCGCTGGTATTCGCAGAAACGTCGCCACGCCCTGATTGCAGGTACTGAAGCTGTGGCTGTACAGCTCAACCGCTTTCGCAATGAACAGGGCATTGCATCCAAACGTGACCATCGCATAGATGCTGATCCAGAAGTCCTTTTCCCACAATGGACTCCCTCATCCCCTGAAGGTATCATTTGGAGAACGTATCAGCTTCAGGCGATTGTCCAGCATATTGGACCGACCACGGTCAGTGGGCACTACCGTGCTGCACTCAAACCTCGTTCAGGAACAGCGAACGTGTGGCATCACACCGATGACAATAGTCCTGCGCAATCGGTCCCACCAGAAGCCTTGTCCACCTCCAATTACATCCTTGTGTACCGAATGAGGAGTGCTGCAACCTCAGCATAGGCCCTTCGGGGCAGCGTAGCTACGTAGCTAGATGAGATGAGTCGATCCAATCGAGATCGAGCGCCACAGTGCGCCGGGTGACCCCGCTCGAGTCATCGCAATGCGACCTCACCGTCCGCAGCGAGTGTGATGATGATGATGCTGCTGCTGCTGCTGCTGCTGCTGCTACTGCTACTGCTACTGCTACTACTACTACTACTACTACTACTACTGCTACTACTACTTCTACTACTACGACTACTACTGCTACTACGACGACGACGACTACTACTACTACTACTATTGCGATTAGTACAGCTCTCACCGCTACTACCTGCACTACCGCCGAACTAGTTATTGCTGCTTGTACTCGGACTGCTACATCACTCGTACTATTAGGACCCTGACCAGGGTATTTCGCATGGGCTCAAAGGCTCAAGTTTAGGGACTCTGCAAGGCGGGTTTGGTAGAAGTTGTGCGGAAGATCCGTGGAAGCTCAACGTCCAAATCCTTGACCGCCTATCCTTTCTAGCGGTCTGTTGACCTCAAGTTCTAGCTCAAGTGGGCAGTTTCCAGGTACTTGTTGCAGCCGAAACGATGTTCTGTCATTATGTGTTGCAGATGAGAAGCCTTGAGCCTCGAAAGCTCTAGCAGTCTCTAGTAGCAAGCAGCTTCTAGCAAGCTCGGTCGTTTTGTCAAAATGCACCACAAAGCTATCAGTGTAAAAACCTCGCCGCAGAAGAGCACGGAAGGCTGAGCGGGAGGGATCTGTTTGCATAGCTATGGTCATCGAATTGTCGTCAATGTCTTAGCTCTGCGCAGGAGACCTTGCCGCAGGAGTTCGTGAGCTCACTAGCGGGTGTAGCACCTTTGAAGCACGATCAGCCAGGCGAAGGCTGTTAACCGGCAGACCTCAAAGATGTGCTGATGCCAGCTGGCTTCTCGTCATCATGGCACAGTCTGTCCGCCACACTTGTACAAAGTCGGTGCCAATGCAATTCGGCCCAAGTGTAAGACCCTAGTTTACTGTCACCCACCACGGCCAGCTGGGCGCTTGGCCCTGCGAGGCTTGGCCAGTAATGTGGTAAAAGAAATGAGATTTTGCGTGGCTAGGATTGATTTGTGAAACGGATGTGCAGCCTGATTGCTTTCGTTGCAGGCGATGTTGGGATGGCTCCTTCTTATGGTCTGCACAAGGTGCGGCATGGCATGGCGTATCTTGTTGCTGACCACATTACCATGCACTGTGATTGTTGTTCTCCAGAATCGGACTGAGGATCTCTCAGATGGCAGAGGCAGGAGGCACCAAGGCAGGAGTCTCGGAGCGAGTGCAGTGACGTTCTGCGATTGCGGTGATCCACAGCCGAGTCAGGAAGTCTTAAAGGGGATCAGCTATGGGCCCGCTCCGCTCAAGGCCTCCATGATCAGGTGCGTCAGCGTGTGCATCGCACGACCTTTGCTTTTGAGGCGGCAGGCAGGTTGCCCAACGATGATTTCATGGCAGACTCAGCCAAGGAGAGGTGTCGAGTCTTGGACGAAGGAACTCGACTTGTACTCGTGTTTCAGAGGCGCAGTGGAGCACATCTGGACGTGGAGATTTGGCCATCATGAAAAAGCTGGGAGCCAACGCGGTGACCCAGACTAGCAGACGAAGAGTGTCAAATCCGTTTACTCGACATGTGATCCAATAAAGTCGTCTCATGTCCAGGTACGGCTTTACGGCAATGACCCTCGAGAGGACGTTCAAGCGTTTCGGGTCCACTGAACGAGGATTGCTCTCGTGCAGGATCACAAGCCGTTCCTGGATGAAGCGCACAGTCAGGGACTACAGGCGGGAGTGTTATGGGGTGCCAGAATTATCTGACCCAATGAAGCGTTGGTGGCAGGTAATACCTGGGATGAGCGACTACCCATTCACGCAGATGCCGAAAAACTGCATCACGACGGACCGGCGCATGATGGTACCTTTTTTGTTTTTTGTTGAAGGGCGGGCAAATGTATAATTTGGTCTGAAACCATCCACCGACAAGGTCAGCGTGCTTGCATAGCCTCATCTGACTGCTCATAGTTCAGGCGTAGGGCTGGGGGGGCCTCGGAAAGGGGGTTGTGGAGCTGCGAAGCGGCCCGGCGAACAATCGAAACGGTTTCGCGCCGGGCCTGGCAGTCTGACACAGATGCCTGGCGCCGTGTCAGGACACAAGCGAGCCTCGCTTCAGTGGTTAGACGCGGTGTGCCTCCATTCGTGACACCTGAGTCAAGCGTCGTTTTTTGGGGTTTGGCGAAATGGTTCAACGGTTCATGGTCTTGGCAGAAGAGCTCTCACGATGTTGTTTCGGTGGTGCATTTTTCGCAATGTAATTCTGCAGGAGTACAACTGCTATTCGCAAATCAAAGAGCAGTACAAGAGTAATCTGGAGAACGGCTTCCTGGACAAAGACGGTGCTTATCATCCTGCCCTAAAGCCAGCAGCTTACTGCCTGCTCGGCGGAGTATCTGACAAGCGGTGCTGAATCTCGCATTGCAGTGTTCATCTCGAAGGACCATCATAGTAATCAACGAGCCGGACCTGAAGATTCCAGGGGAGTCACAGCCCAAAAAGTTCAGCAGGACGGCAAGCTGACGGCAAGTTGATCAGAAGTTGGCACTTGCACTTGCTAGAGAGAGAGCTGTGCTCGTTTGCCCCTGAAAGGGCGATCATAAGTGCTATCGACGGCATGCTTGATGCTGAGAAGGAGTGTTCAGCAGAGGTTCAGCAAGCAGCAGGCCAACTTTGTCGTTGCAGGAGGCTGGTGCCAGTGGGAACTTCCCCAACTTCACGGCCACCTTTTCCTTCGGTGTCTGCACGGTCGCTGGGCCAGAGTAGCGCCCTTCTGACCGTCAGAAGGGGCTTGTTGCATCCTGTTCGTGATGTGTGCCTTGTGTGCCTTGTGCTTGTTCTTGCGAAGATGCACGGGTGGCTTTCGGAGCAACCTTCAGAATCCGACGAGGCTTGTCCGGGATCGAAGTCGAAGCCCTCACTCGGTCAAGACCCTTGGGCAGAACTAGTGAAATAGCGTTCCTGTTTTTGTCCACGTCTGGTTCGCCCGTCTCACGGCAGCGAGTTTTAAAGCCGAGATGTTGGAGCTGCGACGTGCCATGGAGAAGCCGGAGGCAAAGCGAGCTCGGAGAATGTGCCAATGCTTGCCTGCTGATCTTCAACGTTCTGTTTTCGCAAAGCAGGACTATGGCTACACACCGAAAAACGACCTGGCCAAGATTTACAGATCACGGTGGGCTCAGTGAATCGACTTACATGTTGTCCCTTCAAGTGCCATTCAGGTTCACGAACAGTTTCAACACCAACAACCCCGCGACTGACATGAAACCACTTTTCCTCGATGACTACGAGGCGCCTGGTGGGCGCCTGGCGGCTGCAATACATTACATGTACGTGTGTGCGGAGATTCGCGGCCAGGCACTGTTTTCAACGACCCCTGTTTTTATTGGTGAGTATCATGCGCCGCACATCCCAGTTGGCCAGGACAGACCGGGGAACATTTGAACCACTTCGTTCACCAAGTTTCTGAAGTTGGGTGTGCACATAAGGGTGATGCAGAGCACGTCTTCAGCTCGGAGAGCAGGCTGTTACCTAGACAAGCGAGGTGTCGAACGAGGTTGGGCAAGGCATTGTCTCGATCCGGATCGCTTGATGAGTCCTGCAGTGTCCGCACCTCCGCCAAGAGGTCGAAAAGTTGGGGCAAAAGTGAGCGTGTCGTTCGCACGTCCCAACAATTTTTGCCGTTTCATTGTGGCTGTCCTTGGAGCTGCTAGCTTCTCGTAAGTCTGCATCAACTCGCCGCCTCCATTGTTTCTACCAAGCCAAGAGTTAAATTACGTCAGATGTGCAACAGCGCAAGACAGCCTTCAGCCTTCGGTTTCCTGCATCATGTAAAGGACCTGGAGAAGATTCTGTCCATCGCACAAAGCTCGAGCTTGGCTCCTGGACTGCATCGCCAGAGTTCATAGTGGCTTCTATCGGTTTCTGTCGCCGAATGGCTTTCGGAACGATGGGCTTGCTTACGGGCTCAGACTTCGGCCGTCGTGCTTTCGTCGCTCGAAGTGGGTCACACCAGTTTTGCAGTTGGACTCATTTGGAGTTAGTTGGGCACGAGGGAGGGATACTGCTTCGCAACCACGACATGCAGTATCTCGTCCAGCCCTCCAAACCTCCATGACCAGATCTAGACTGGCTAGGTAGGGTCTGACAGGCATTGACAGGCCAAGGGGTCGAATGGCAGCCCTTTGCCGAAACTTGCAACATGTGGACTGAACTTCGGGTAGTAGAGAAGAGGGCAATACCATGCACGCCCAAGAGGCATATCCGTCGAAGCTGTCACCGTGATCGGCACCTGATACCTTCATGTCTCAAGTGCCAACAGTTTCTGACTTCGAGCCAGAGCAAACTGCAGCAGTGTCAGTCGTGCTGCATGCATGGTCAGTGCTGTGAGAGGATCTTCGAGTAGAGTAGAACACGGGCACTATTCTCATGAATGGTTTCGGGAATGTCAGCGCGTATTGGGTCTTGTCGTGAACTGCTTGACGATGCATCGAGGTTCATCAAAGGGGATGAATTTCTGGCCATTCCGTCATTCAGCAGCACCGATGGAGCGCAGCTGCACAATGCCACAGTTTCAAACGCGGAAAGCAGCTGACCAAGAGAACTTGCATATGAAGAGGGCGGCACGAGGGCAGCAACGTCGTGGAACAACATCTTACTTCTGTGCCAGTAATGGGCCCGTGCCATGTTTGCACTAGCAGAATCGCATGCAGCCTCCCTCGGCGACTGGGGCGACTGCACGAGTACAACAAGAGGCGGTTTCGAGTTGGCACGAAACAGTCTCGGGAACTTTCACACCGATTCCAGCTTGAACAACCTGATTGAATTCCTCATGATCAATCTCCTCATCTGCAAAAGAACATTATCACGCCGCGCCCACCGTGAGCGCAAAGAACTTGAGGAACCCCAGGCCAATCAGAAGTCCCAAAATGCCCACTGTGGGACATGAATGGGACACGGCATGAGCGGCAGTGCACCCACAGAAAACACGACGTATTGCCCGCTAACTCGGGTCTGCGACGATGGCCAAGCAGGTCCAAAACCCTGAACTCTACCGCGGACCACTGCGAAAACGGGCCAGCACCCACAGGCAATCAATCAATCAACCAACGTAATACAGCAGGAACATCGGAGCCACGAATTCCCGAAATATCAGCGTGTGTTGCTGTCAACAAAGACAGGTGTTAACATCGCAACGGGGGTACTACTAGTACTCGTACGAGTACTAGTATTAGCTAATACCAGTCGTGGTATTGGTACAAGTACCGGTACTAGTATAAGTATTATGATGACGATGATGTTAGTACTACTACTACTACTACTGCTACTGCTACTGCTACTGCTACTACGACTACTACGACTACTACGACTACTACGACTACTACTACTACTACTACTACTACTACTACTACTACTACTACTTCTAACTTCCACTTCCACCTCCGCCTCCACCTCCGCCTCCACCTCCACCTCCACTTCTAGTTCCACTTGCACTTCCACTTCCACGTCGACTTCTACTTCTACATCTACTTCCTACTTCTACTGCTATTGCTACTGCCACTGCTGCTGCTGCTGCTGCTGCTGCTGCTACTGCTACTGAGTAGCTGCTACTGCTCCTCCTGCTGCTGCTGCTGCTGCTGCTGCTGCTGCTGAGTTGCTTACAGCTCAAGCGGCCGCGAATTGTAGCCGTCGAATCACCACAGGACAGCTTGTCGAGGAGCCAACCAGTTGAGATCCTAGCAGATCCCGGGTTCTCCAACCAAGTCTTCAATTTAGATCGGTTTGTGCGTGGCAATGTTCTTTCATTCGCTGTGATGCGGACAGCCTCGCATTCTTTTCGCACTAGGTGGTGATACAGGCACGCTAAGCCGCAGGCGCCAATCACGAGCTGGCCCGGACCCAAATCCGGGGGGAGACAACCACTTGCCAAGCCACTTTGTTCTGCTCCTAGGCGTGAGGGTTCCCGTCTTGTCGACTTGCCTTCAGACCGCTGCCCACTCTTCAGGGTCTGATGCGGACGTCGGGTCTATTGTGCTTCGCTTCATCGGCTGTGGTGTCACTCGGAGAGTGTATGAGACGCTAGAGGAACCAGGCCAACGCCACTGGGATCACGATGAAGCTCTCGCCTTCAAGCTGGCAGTGGAGCCGCCGACTGCTATTTTGCAGGAAGGCGGTCAGAGCGCGGTGTCAGCGTATAGAAATCAGAAATGAAGCCATTCTTTCCTGCCCGCAGCCCTGGTTGGTTCCGAGCATGGTTTCTTTTGAGGCCTCTGAGCTGGTTGAAACAACAAGGGTGCGTCATGCCTTCGCAGCCTTCAGAGATCTTTCACACTCGTGAGGCAGCCTCCGAGCACACATGCGTCTTTGCAGCCATGGAGAAGCCGAGCCTGCTTCCAAGATGTCTCTTCCAGGTCTTTCTATACTTCGGCACAGCAAGCATCTACCCGAAGATGTCAAGCCGGCGAAGCGCTCAAGGGAAGATACAGCCGAGCCGCCGTCAGACTCTACTCGCCCTTCTCGAGACAGTGGGGAAGCCAGCAGCGAAAGCAGCCCCACATCAGACAGAACCAATCGAGGACACTGACTCGGAGGAGGTTGCACCACGCTCTTCTCCGGTAAGAAATGGCTCCACGGCAAGTCCTCCGGCAGCTAAACCAAATGGTCCCAGGCACCGCCGCCCGGCATTGCCAGCAAGACATCCCTTCGGGACTATTGCATCTGGATCACCGGCCCCTCACCTGCTAGCGCTGTGACCCAGGTCACCCCGAGCACACCCACGCCTGAGGGAGGCTTAAAATTACTTTAACCATTCCACCTCGGTGGTCTCGATCGTAGACGGGTGCGTAAGCCTCCCATTCTCATGGCGAACAGTTGTGCATCCTATTGGATGCTTTGGCAACTCACCTTGAGGCGGTCCAGTCACAAAACAGTTTGCCTGCACCCATAAGTTCTCGCCTAATCTCGCCTATATCTCAGGCCCAATTAAAGACACGCGCATCCTGACGGCAGGTGCAACTCCCAACGCGACCATTGTCCGAACCCGATATTGTAGGCCGTTGCATGCTTCGGTGGCAACCAAAGGGATGTGCATATGTACCAAGCCACATTGCGTCGCTTCTTAACATCACTGGCTGCCCAGTGCTCCATGCTGAACGCTATAAGCCACCAGCTTCCTGCCCCAACCTGCGAGTTGCAAAGATAAACCCGTTTTCCGAGGTTACATACAGTGCTGTCTCCTCGGAGCGGCTGTATGTGCATGTGCTGCTCCCGCGGGACGGCATGCGTTTAAGCAGATTTTGCGGGAAGGCCATGCGCCTTGGGAACTCGTTCTCGTCGTTGAGGGAACGCCGCACAGTCACAGTATTCCGAGCAATAAGGGTTTCCTGAACAAGGTTGCACTTTCGATTTTGCGTGTCAAGCACCGTGCGACAACGGCCGCTGACACTGAGCGTCCGACACACTGAACAAGGTGGTGCGAAGCAAGCCAGCCAACTAACAACAAATCATGACTTTGTTCTCAACTTTAACCGCGTGGAAGGATTGCCATGATTGGCCATTGCTTGCTGGTTTAAGTCGGTGGATGGCGTTCTAAACCCCCACCTCTTGTAGGAAGAATCGGGTAGGCATTAGGGCGAGTGTGTGAAGACTCCTGCGCACAAGACCGCACATGGGCGTGCAAGGATTCCTAGCACCTAGGCATTGTTGTTTCAATTTAGAACAACATCCGCGCCACCGGCTGCACGACGCTTCAAATGCCAGCCACCAAGTAGACACTCTTCGCGCAACACGCCCAACCAACAACACAAGGAAGGACAAACCCCCAGTTAGACACGGCCTTAGCCTGCAAAAGCAACGCCACTGCGATGAGAACCGTCCGTGTAGACGCAGCGCAGGCAGCACACCCCACAACAACCAAGAAATGTTAATCCATATGCAGGTGCAGAAGTAAGCCGTGAGCAAACACACCTCGATCGTCGAGAGTCTAGAATAAGTTCGATGTGCTCCAGCGCGCTTTACTGATGTCTGGTTTTTTCTGTGGGTTGGGCTGCGTGTTGCTTGCTCAAACAGGCTTGCACAAAAACAGAGTTTTTGTGCAAGACACGCCTGCTAGATTCTTGTGCAAAAACTATGTTTTCGGACCAACCCCTAATGCTACGGTGTTGTCGATGTTGTGTTTTGCTTTGTCGTTTTCTACTACCGTTTCTGTTGCTTTTTGGAGAGGTGGCCAGGCAAGCGACTCAGACACCCTCTCGATTGTTATTTGCCCGAACTGCCTCGCCTCTCTGGCTGGCTCCGTTTTTTTTTCTATGTGTTTCCCCCCTCGGCCATGGCCCATCATGGACCCCCCAAGCTGCCTGTGCTTCTTTTCCGGCCTTCCATTTTCATCTGTCATGTGCCTTCTTCGGGGCCTTGTCTTTTAGTTCTACGAGCCTCTGGGCTCATCTCAGTGTTCTCTGTTTGTCTACAGTTTGGACTTGGTGAAGGTTGTATGTGCCATCGGCAAGCGTTGCAGCCCTGCCTTTCAAGGGCCAAACAAAGTGCACGAAAGCTTTGTGCAGAGAGCTGCCGGTGGCATGTTGGCGCGTGCCCCAAAACAAGCAGTAAACGATCGCAGAAGACAGCTTGTGGTGACTGAATGTGGCAGGTCGCATGAGCATAAAACGGTTTTGAGCATCGGGAGCGTGATGAAAGCAAGAATATGCTTTTGGACCAGACTTGAGACGCGATGTTTTGAGTCACTTTTTCAGAGATATCTGCATGTGCTGCCAGCACATGCATGCCATTGTCGGCATTGTACAGTATGTAGCTGGCTCAGGTTGGAGTCAGCTTCTTTGAGTACCAGGTTCGCTATGACAAGGGGGGATCCGAGATGGAGTTTGGCATGCTCCAGCCCCGGCTACGTGACAGTGGGGGTCCTTCGAAATGGTGGGTTCGCATCCCGAACTGAGCCAGGTTTGGTTTGGGCGTCCAGAAGATTGCCAGGTGCTGTGAGCTGTGACACGGCTGTGCACAGGGAGATCTGTCGGGGAAGCTTGAGCTCTGCCAGCATGGACTTCTTCGGCACCTCCTTCCCTGTGTGGTCTGGACTCCTGGACCTCGTCCTCTAAGTTGCAGACAGCGAGTGAGTTCTCAGGTGCCTGACCGAAGTGGCCGACAAGCAGTCCTCCGGCGTCACTGTTGTTGACGAGCTTGCGAAAGCATTTGGAGGCCTCACCCCAGCACGCTGCATGCAAGACGCTGCAACCCCAAAGAAGACAAGAAGCAACCAGGCCCCGGTATCAAGGCAAACGAGCTTTGTGTGATCGATCCACAGAAGGCGGGTGCCTTGCCGTCAGGCTTGTGCTTTGAAATGTCGGCAGCCAGGTTCCGATCTCTGAGGATGGCTACGAAGCCGGCTTCCCAGCGACTCCTTTTGCTTTCTGTTGTTGTGTTGCTGGAGCTCCTGCAGTGACCAAGGCTGTTTTGTCTTTGAAGGATGTCGACAAGATGGCAACCTTTGTGTCGCGTGTTGTGGAGCACATGGGAGGATCGGCTGTTGACCGTGTTTGCATAGCAGGCCTAGCAGGCTATGCATGACCTGTGACGGCGAGGCTCCGTGAGAGACGAAAGTCAGTTGCAGAGCTTTGCCAAGAGGCGTGGTCAGGATGGAGATTGTTCCCGGGCGGTGCATGCTGCATGTCACATGCACTCTCTTCGTCTCGTGGCAAAGGTACGCAGGAAGCACACTTGCGGCTTATGCCCGAGACTGGCCTCTGCGAGCCTCCGAGGGCAACCTCAGCTTCGCCTCCATGGCCTCGGATCTCGGCGGGGAGCCGAGGGAAGCAGCCGCGGAGCGGAGCATCGCGGAGCAGCCGCGGAGCGCTGAGCCGCGTTGGCAGTCGAGGCCAGCATCCATCTTGGATCAGCTGGGATGTGGACACCCCAGTTGCTCCATTTCAATGAACACTCCAGTGGTCCAGTGGCACTTCGCATGTGGGCACGGCAAAAGCCTGTCAAAGCTCGTAGTAGGCAGGCCGTCAGCAGAAAAATGTGGGAGGAGCTGCAACCATAGTTCTAAAGAGTCCCCGGCGTTTTGTGAGGCCTGCTGGCAGAAAGCTTTGTACTTTCCCGTGCCTCGAGTTGGGAGTCGGGTAAATCGACTGAGTAAAGATTTGTTCCCTCACAGCTGTCGCAGCACGGGACATGGCCTGCAGAGGCAATAAGAAGCCGATATCATCTCAATCACTGCAGATTTACGAAAGGATTGCTGGGATCCGAGCAGGGGTTGTGCAGTATTGCCCATCATTTGCGAGTTTTGGCGCTGCACACTTGCCGTGATGCGATTGAAACCGCGTGGTGGTGATTATTGACGTTTCACGAGGTCGCATGACGGCCTCGATTCCATGCATATCCATCCATGATCATCCATGCTTGTTGAGTCTGCAAAAGGATCCCCAAAGGTGATGCGAGTGGCTGGTTTGGGGCAATCAAGGAAGGAATGTGAGACGCCCTGTTAACCCCTGCCCGACAAGTCGAAGTAAGGTGCAAGAGAACAGGAAGCATCGCCTAGCCTTCGACGAATTCGCAGTTTCGTGCTGTGACTAGCAGCTGGCATGGTGTTGCGACCGTTTGCGACCGCAGAAGACAGGAAATGGCTGCTTGTGTTGCCGATCGAGCTTCAGATGAGAGCAGCGTGGGACAGGCAGTGCCTGCTGGAGTCCCCACAGCCCAACTGCAAGCTGCAAACGTCTGCTTCGAGGCAATCAGCTATGCTTGCGGCAAGCTCCACTCCTTCAACTGTTCAGAACTACCAGATAGCTGCAATCAGGCCGCCGTTGCAGGCCGTTGTGAAAGCGAGACACATGCGTGGCCCTGAGGACATCTGGCTGAAGGCGGACTACGCAAGGCGCCCAGTAAAGCTCGAGCACCGGCCCCGACATCCCCGACTCGAGCACTGTTCCAGCATCGCTGCTTCGAGAGCCAAGCCCCAGCCGATTCGCTCGACGACGTGTTTTGAGGCTTTGAGGCTTTTTTCAATTCGCTCAAAGGCTTCGTTTTGCAACATCCGAGCTTCATCATAACACTTCCCAAACTATGCTCGGAACAGCCCACTGCCCATCGGACACGAATCCCTGGTGAGTGAATATGGGTGAATCATGTCGGTGAGCCATGACGAATCTGCACCGTCATTGCGCGAACCCTGGTTGCTCCGAATCCGTTACTTCTGGGGCGGAAATCTCTTGTGCGCACATCCCGCGAGCACGAATCGTTCCTGCGCGAATGTGTACGAATGCACCACCGCAGTGAGCGAATCCATTGCCGAATGTTTGAGGAGTAAGTGCGCCGAATGCTTGTTCCAAAATCCGGTCTCTTCAGTGCGGGATCGGCGTTCTACTAGCCTGCAAGCCTTTACGCGATGCCTCAACCAACATAAGCCAAGGTCCTCAGTTTGTTCTACTTGCGGCAGGTCGGATTCCCCTTTGCAGCGGGAAGATTGGTGAAAACCTCGTGCATGTCGTGTGACATGTTCCTGTTCCTGTCAGGTCACCAGCCGAACTCCACTACAGGATTGCAGCTTCAATGGTGCTGCCGGAACGCGAGAGTGCCACATGTCTAAAGCGTGGGTTGTCATGACTGAGCCCAGGCCATGTTCGCACCCGCGTCCACATACAGACCTGTTGCATCGACCTCGGTGCGACCTGACTCTGTTGAGGGCTGGAGACGCGCCTTTTGCAAAAGTAGGCTCGAGGACTGCTTTATTTCAAGCTGATGTAGAGAGTGTAGAGGTCTTGCCCACTTTCGCTGCGCCTCGGTGCATGAGTTTTTTGAGGGACTTCTTCCGTGTCTTGGAACTGTCGGACGAGTCGGAGGACGAGGTAGATGCAAGTACAAGAAGCGATCCCGAGAGCAAAAGACGAAGGACCGAGGCAAGTGCTTCTGGCATCGTGAGCACGGCCAACAGTGATGTGGTGCCCGCAGAGCCTGAAAGCAAGCGTTTTGCAGACGGCCGCTCCGGAGACGAACGCTTTCACTCTGCCTTGTACTTCAACAAGCTTATGGACTGCATATGCACTTGTGGTAACTTGGATAATCGACTCTTTCGTTTAGTGCCTCACACCCCAGTCGCATGTTTTGCATGGTGTGTTCCCCCGGCTAGAATTCTGGCTGCTGGTTTTCAGACAGGCAGCTGCCAGCTCGTGATGGATGCTGACCAATCCGCTGCACCCCCTTAAAATGCTCGCAGACTGTTTACACCCTGGAACCCTAAACCGAAAGGCCGTAGAGGGCCGTAGCACGTACACAGTATTCAAGCGTGTTCAAGTGTTCAACAGTCAGGCAGCACAAACATCATGGCTTGTCTGAGGTGATGATCTGACGCTGCAGGACATTTTTGAGAATCACCCAATGGGCAACGACTTGGCCACGCATGTTGTCCTCGTGAACTTTATGATAGATCTGCCATGGCTTTGTCAGCAATGTCCGTCTCTGCTGCGTACGCCGCGCATGTCCCTCCTGTATGGCGATGGTGGTGATACTTGCAAGCAGGTGGAACGAGAACGAGCCCGCATGGGATTGTCCACGTCGCTGCATTCTCCATCCTTGCCCTTGCAGTGGGGAACGCATCACAGCAAAATAGTGTTGTTGCTGTACAAGAACTGTCTGAGAGTGTGTATTCGCACCTTCAACGACATCTTTGCAGACATTCACGAGAAATCAAATGCAATGTACATTCAAGACTTCCCTGAATTGCAGCAGCAAAATCGACCCGACAAAGATAATTTCGGAGATGACTTTCGGAACCAGATTGTCAAGTACTTCCAAGCATGTGGTGGCTTCGAGCCTGCAGAGCTTCATGCATACGATTTCTCTACTGCGGCGGTTGCCATCGTGTGTTCCGCGCCCGGATATCATGCATCTGGCAATTTGCATGAATGGGGCCATCTACGTTTACGCAAGCTACTGGGTCAGCATGCTAAAGGGTTGCAGCATCCAGCTGGGACTCACGGCGTAGTTTGCCAGGCAAGCTCTTTTGGAACTTTGTCCAAGAATTGGATTGACGAATTCCATGCCACCTTGTCAGCAACATGTGACGCAACACATACGGCATTTCTCAAGAAGCCTATGCTCACTTTCGTCGCTCCCACTGTAGGACAAGTTCGCGATAGTATCGAGGGATGGGTTTCCAGCGCGTCTTTGTTCATAAAGCGAGCGACTGTGTCGGCTTGGCCCACACTCTGGCGACGATGGGGTCCCAAGGTGGGCTCGCGAGATTCGCGATCAATGCATCGGGCCATGGCTATGCCCCACTTGAAGACATTATGCAGATATGTCACGTGGAACAAAGGTGACGACGAAGATGCGCTCTTGCTTTGGCTCTATGTCGGTTCGCACAACATGAGTAAGTCGGCATGGGGAGAAATTCAGAAAGGTGGATCACAACTCTGCGTCCGCTCGTATGAGATGGGTGTAGTCTACTTCCCGTCGCGTTTGGCGACACTTGAGCGTGACACGTCAAGAGGAGCCTTCTTCTTGCACAAGATTCATAACGAGGCTAAGCATGAGGCCGTGTTTGTGCCCAGTGCAACGCACTCCAGGCAAGCCAAACTTCTTGAGAGTCTGCGGCTGCGGGCCTTGCCCATGGTCTTTCCAATTGCCATCCCGCCTGCACCTTCCCCCGTGGCAGACGATCCAACGTGGTCCCGTGACCTGCCTAAGGAAATGTATGCAGGACTGGACCGCTTTGGAACTCGATTCGGAGAACGAGGTCCCGAGTTCTACGGCCACCGCGCCGTCGCGCAGCGGGGAAAAGGGGTTGCTGTTGGCTCACAAAAGTGGCGTGGGGGATCCGCATCGAGGATTCGAGGTGTATCATCACCAAGGACATCTGAGCGCATCAGCTGGAGGTGATGCAAGCATCGCGAGCATGCACTTCTTACTTCGTGCAGGATGCTGCCACCACGGCTCTCAGCGAGGAAGGCTACCAGACAGTGATCAGCAGCAACAGCACTGCTCAGGCGCATTCTTGCGCTGTGCCGTGTGCCCTAAGTTTTCGGTTCATGTTGATCAGCCGGATGCATCTCAGGTCGATTTTCAATGGATTTGATTAGCAGGTGAGTGCGAAGCGCAACGAATACTTTTGTTCCGCGTTGGGGCCAGGAGCTAGTCGGCGCTGCGAGATAAATTGAAGCTACTCGTAGGAACGCGCGCTGCAAGCAAGTCCACTTTCGGCAGATTCTCGTAGTATGGCCGGATTGCTCCGAGATGGAGGGGGAACACGGGGGCAAAGCTGCACACGATATGCGTGTGAAGGTCGGTTGACACATAGACAACTTCACAGGATTTGATCAATCGACAGAGAAAATGAGATTTGCAGCAATTGCCAGGTTGCCCCGACTACTCAGTACTCAATATTCACATCTACTTTCAGACCGCAGGTTTGCTGCTGTGCTGTCTTCAGGTGAGCACTTTCATCGGGCGAGAAGTTCTGAATCAGAATATGGAGGCCGACGCCTTCGATTGCTGAACATCGCTCTGACTCTGACTCTTCAGGTGACGGACCAGGCTGGCCTCACTGCATTTTCAGCTCATCCACCGACCAGCTTCCACATGCTGGAGGCCACAGAAACAAGCTTCTCCGCAGTTGCACACAAGTTCGGGCTTCCTTGCCGCTGACAGACTGGGAGGGCACACTGATTGGGGATCAGCTTTGAAGGGGGTGGCACAAGGATGGAAATTGTGAAGGTGGTTTGTGAGGGGGGTGCGGGCACTCGACTATGCACTGCTGCAAGTGGACGTGTACAGTACTGCCCTGAGTGGTGAAGGTGTCGGTGGTAGTCGCCGCGGCTTTCGCCCGATCTGTGATTTGGATGGTCCAGTCGATCTCCTAGCGCATGTTGAGTTTTTGAGTGTGTACACTTATATAGGTCCTAGGTGTTTACAGGTCAATTGCTAGAGGATGGGGCGGTCCCTCTGGGTGGGGCCTGATGTCAAACAGTTTGTGCTATCGTAACAGCTGCAAATCAGCCGATCAGGAGCATAGCTGCCACACGTTCCATGACTCTTCGTCACACTCTTCAATAAGCTTACCATTTGTCCGACAACCCGTAGCTACCCCAGTGGCGACAGCCTCGCTTAAGAGACATGTTGGATCGGGCGAGGGAAACGAGAGCTCCCTCGATTTCTTAATTGTTGAATTCGCGCATTTTCGTAGATACTATGCTATAGCGAGCTCACTAGTCCAGGCGCCCAATTTCACAAATCAAGGATTTTTGAAGCAGCACTGTCGCTGTGGGTCAGGTCAACGTCTAAGGTTTCAAGGCAGGATCTATACCCAGGCCGACCGAGGGACCAGTTGGCCCACTGTAAGCGGACGCAAGCAGAGGCCCCCCGCCAAGCCAGCCGCGAGACGACGCTAGGCCCCTGGCCGAACCCAGCTAAGTCTGTCTTCGGCACAGGAGGAGCTTTCGCAAGTGCCGTGGGTCTGCGGTGGTTCTTCTGGACGGAATTGTTGGGAGCTCAGCACAGAGCACAGTAGACTCGCAGATTCGGTTTTGGAGTGGCCGCGACCTCGCGAATAGATAGGCCCCCCGAAGAAGAGCTCCACTGCGTGGTTGGAGATAGGCCCGTGCAACCTGAGCCCTGGGCATGTGGTCGGTGCTGCCCATTGTCTCACGATGCAACAACACTTTCTGGCAGCTGGCTCAGAGTGCCGCACGTCATGTGCAACTTTCAGTTCCAGATCTATGCAGGCTGTACACTTTGGACACAGCAGCTGCACGCTGCCTTGTGGCAGGAAAGACTAAGTCAGAGCAGCCATTATGGCCGGTGTTTCGTAAACGGCTGTATTACCGCGGGTGAGTTTCTGTCATCCGGTGTCATGATACATGGGACTTGATGGACGTCACGAACTTGGGCTGGCTTCTGAGCCACTCGGATTCAGAGTGCCAGCCAGTAACTTGCCCAGCAAACGCAGCTGCCGACCCAGGCCGGTGCTGAAACAGGCGCGCGGGGGCGGAATGCGGAAGTCGGGCATCCGCGAGTCGTCTGGAAATGCTGCTTTCCAGGAAGGCCGCCCTCTCGCTGCTAGCGAAGTGGGTCGGGCCTGGCCGTTTACGATATATAAAGGAGAGAGCTGTGCGCGCGTCCTCCCAGGTTCCAAGCAGCTGGCCTTGTCACCTTCGCTTCATTTGGATCGAGTGCAGGCAGCGTGTTCGTTCGTTCTCTCGCGCTCCCTCTCCCTCTCTGTCTCTGTCTCTTTATTCGATGAATCGGGACGTTTTATGATATCGTCACGAGAAAAGGTGTTCCAGCAGCTGGGCTCCTTGCACGAGGCCCTTGCCGAGCACAGGCCAGCACCCAAAACGCACGGTGTTGCAAAAGTATCCGATTTGCAAGCGTGGTTTTCGGCTTGGTCGTTGTTGGGGCCAAGGCCAAGCTGCAACGAGGCGAAAGGGTGACTCTTTGAATTTGGCAAAGTCTCGCGTGCCGTGTGGACAAAGGATTCTTTGTGGCGTGAAAATCGCCGCCTCCGCGGCGAGGCAACGCATCGGGGGAGGTTCTTTGGGAAAGCGGAGCATTTCTCGGGGTCTCAGGTGCAGTCCTGGAAAGATGAAGCGGCAGCTCGGCATCGAGAGACAGCAGAGCTCCGGCTGGAGGCATTGATTAGCATCGTGCAGAAGGGAACATACAGCACTGGTAACCATGAGAGTTGCGATGTGTCGCTGTCCCTGGCAAGGTGGCTCAGCTACATGCAGAGTTGCAGGCCCGAAGCTTGAAGGCTGAATGACGGCTGTTTCCACGCAAACAGAATGTCGCAAGTCATGTTGCAAAGCATTGATGAGGCTGAGCAGTCAAGATCCCAGGAGCTGTTCACTCAATTGGAGGCCAAAACAAGAAAGTACAAACTGTGAGGAAGCATCCTGCTGTCGTGCTGCCATGTCCAAATCTCACACAGCTTCAGCTCATGTCGCGAAACCGCACGAGCTCGGTCTGGAGGAATGGGCGCTATGCGTCAAGTACATGATGCAAAAGCCGCACCGATCATGTCGTAGCATCGTGCTAACAGGCGGCAGCGGCGCTTCCATGAAGCACTCTACAAGCTGGTTCTGGTTCTTTATGGGTCTCTCGGCATTCGAGGCCTTCAAAAGACAGCATTTACACACCAAACCTTGTGCTGAGAATCGGTGAGAAACAACTCGCTGGCCATGCGTTCCGACGGCCGTTCTCGCGAAGCGTCTCACTCAAACTGCAACTGGTGATCCCAAAATTGAGTTGCCCAACGTCTTAAAGCCTTCTCGGAGCCCTCCGACACCCCATAAGTGATGATTGGTCACCACTCGGCATGACAGAAGTTCAATATCAGAATCTGTCATCTGCCCGAAGAGACGGAATAGACGGACCAGAAGGATCGCGGAGTCTTGCGGAGGGCGGGGAGAGTGCACACTTCCTGAGCAAACTCTGATGACATGCCGTTTGCATTAGAGCAGCGGGTCAGCATCTGCATTGTTTTCAGAAGTGAGTCAGGTCAGTGGTCGGCGAGACCTGGCCGTCGAGGCCGCTTGGCCATCCCTAGCTGCACAAGCGATCCTTGGGCTGTGAGGGGTGTCCTGGGTCGTCTTCGAGCTGCTTTCGAGCTGAAGGCCACCATTGCTACACATTTCTGCTGCCAGGTTGAAGTCTCTTGATGTCTGTGCCAGGGCTGAGTGGCTAGGGTCGCCTGTTAACCAAATCAGCTTGCTCAAAGTGGCTCCAAACGCCGGCGACGAAGACGGTCAATGTAGGACAGTGCCCTTAGAGGTTTAGTCAGGTTTGGTTTTGTGCAGATCTCCGTGTGAAGCTTCTCGGGTTTGCAGCACCACATTTCATTGGCAACTTCTGTCTTAAATCGCAGCATTCTGACCAGATCAGACCAAGCCAAGCCTGAGGCTTGACCAACATACAGAGACACACGGACATAGAGATAGCGACGTAGAGACACACCAACACAGACACGGAGGCACAGAGACCAAGAGACACAGAGACAGATAGAGGTGTTGCTTGTCGTCCTGCAACCGCTACCCAAAACGAGGTCATGAATCCCATATTGTGTGTATCGTTTCTGAAGCAAATGTCTGTGGGTGACACGGTGCTGGATCAGGGTTGCGGTGTGGTGTGTGTGTGTGTGTGTGTAAGCCTCGATTCTAAGCTAGAGGTGTCTGGACAGTCGTGCAATTTCAATATGCAGGGGGCCCGGAGAGCCCGAGTGAGGTCCGGGCCAACGAAGACCCTCACTCGGTGCTCGTGTAAACGTACCTGCCATCGAGATGGCCACCAGGCTAAGCCACAAACCTGGCATGTCGAAAGCTGTTTGAGACAGTTCATGTACGGTTGCTGCAATCTGATCAGGCAGGTCTTACTCAGGCTTTAGATGATCATCGACTACACCAACAGATTATCATTATTATTACATTTTGGCGATTCTGTCCTGATGGACTCCCAAACTCCGTGTGTGGCCTTGTTGCCAACGGCAACAACCGCTCCTGCGGACTGCCAGGGTACGTTGTGCGGCCCAAGATGGTAACACAACAGGCCGTACTCCTTCGGGACAGGTCAATGGTGCAACGGCACTATAAAGAGTGGCCCTTTCTTGTCAGGTGATGGGTCTAAGTGCTCCTAGTGAGCAAACGGAACAATGGTGCCCCGATTGGTCAGGTGATGGGCTTGTGTGACCTAAACGGTCTCTGAGTGGCTCTAGTAGCCTTGAGTGAACCAAGAAGCAACAGTTACCGAAGATGAGTGGTTATGGCAGCATCTCGGCTTCATTTCACTTGTTTCGTGTGTTTGCAGCCCTTTTTGCACCATGAACATGGATTCCTTGCCTGATGCAGATGTTACCGGGATTGATATCTCGGAGGGTGAAGGACCCTCGCCATCGGAGATTCCGATGCCCAATTTTGGGTTTCAGGGAATCGAGATTGACAATGTTCTGCCGGATCGACTCTCTACAGGACAGGACATTCCGATGGGAGATTCTTCTTCTGAGTCTCGAGATGATACTTCAGAAGTGGTCTCGGACAGTGATCGATCGATTGCACCCCCACAGCAGACACCTCAACTCACCTCGCGAGGAGTTGCCCGTGCAAAGAATGCTGCTAAAGTTCCTAAGGGATCAGTGGGACAAGTTTTGCAACAGAGGAGGGAACAGATGCTGGGAGCACTTGAAGTGTGTAAACCTTCAGAAGACAGCATTTTGTCGGCTGCCGAGTCTTCTGCTTCTGACAGGGAGATACAGGTTCAACAGGACCTGGCGGATCGTGCTGTTGAGATGGCGACTTTGCGCAGTCCTTCTGCAGGAAGAGAAGTCAAGGACAAAAAGTCAGCAGCACCATCGACGGCAGCACCACCACCCCCTCCTCCACCACCTCCACCTCCACCGGTGATTCCTACAGGAAATGCAAGTGCTGTTGAGTGTACACCGATGCAACCTCCGCAGTATGCAGGTGATCCCTTGCTTACAACTAGTGGTCAGGACGTGCATTCTGAACTGGTATTGTCGAGGACAGTGGGAGGAGCAGTCAGTGTCAAGCTTAAGAGCTGGCAAGGTCGCCTCATCATGCAAGGAGCGCCTGAGGACCAGATTGAGCGCAACATGAAGATCGTAGCAGATCTTTGCAATGAATCAGGGATTCAGCTTCTGCCTCTCTTTGAACTTCGGTGCTTTGCAACGCTGATGTGTCGATACACCGGAGATACATCTCGCATGTTCTGTCGAGTGAAGTGTCATGAGTCCAAGGCACATGTTTACTGGAGTTTTGATCTGAACGAACGTTTTGTTCCACATGATGATTCTTCTGCAGAAGAACGAACTCTATATTATTTTGCTCATGGCTCGGACATGGCAGGTGTGCAAGGGATAATGCAATCCCGGTTTTTGGCACCAGCCACAATGGCGGACGGCCCGGAGGCTGTAGGCCATTATTCGCAGGCAACACCGTGGAGCGATGACATGTCGTTTGTGCAGATTCTTGATAGGGTCGCGAATACTGCAAAATGGGCCTGTCCCATTATTACACATGGGTATGCGAGTGTTCCGGGCCAGCATTTCGTTCTGAAGTCGGGCGGCGGAGAGGACGCCCAGCAACAGTGCCTCATACATGGGGTCGTTCACTTCAAACGAGACCATAAATATGTGATCCACAGCGGAAGGACCACGGTGGCAGGTTTCACAGTGGCAGTAGCCAAACAGTTCACTCCTTTGAGAGATGCTTTCGGTCGCCCGCTTTTTCGGGTTCCTCTGACACATGCTCAGCAGATCCAGCGTGGTGCAGGCAACTGACGTCGTCTCGCAGAGGACCAAGAAAATAAACCAGGACCTGCAGTAGTGGCATGCTTCGTTTGCAGGATGCAGGACCGCTTGCAGTCAGTTCATGTCAACATGTGTCTTTGCACAGCTTTTGATCTTTCAAGTTTGCTGCCAGAGTACTTCAGCCATGTCATATCGTCGCCGTGATTCACGATCTCGAAGCCCACCCCGCTCGCACCGCAGACGTCCTGAATTCTCTTCTTCGGGTCGCACTACTCGGCATAGATCTCGCACTCGCTCTCCCAGAGTTGAACCACGAAGTGCAAACCTCCCGGGTCGTGGCGGTCAACATCGCAGGAGTGGGACTCGAATAAGGTGTATGGTTTGTCGTTGCCGAGACGAGTGACTTCCAATCGACTTACTCGAGAAAACGGCATTGCAGGTATGGAGATCTTTGAAGTGCCTTTGCATCGAGTGGTTTCGGGGGGTACTTCTAATTGGGCTTTGCGGCAGATTGCTCAT